ACATCTTTACACTTCCAAACAAATAGATTTATATCACATAACAGATAACTGGTTCTTACATCATTTCCCAGCAGTTTTTTATGAGTTCACCAGATAGCAGGCCATCAGCCCTTTTCTCTTCTTCTCTCCTTATAAATTTCCTTTAGCTTTGATCCTTCGCTCATACTATGGCTTCTGGCTTGTGGCTGGCTCTGAGCTCTGGATAGCTTCAGCTATCACTTGTTAGCTTCTTTTAAATGTCCGGCTGTGTGAGGGTGATTTAAATGTCTGATTAGGTTTGTAGATACAAATGTTTTCATGTTGGTACCCTCGCAGTTACTTTAGCAAATTTAGTGTCTTCCTTTCTCAGTGCAGAGCTTTTGCTCTAAAGACAGTTTAGCATATTATGTGAGTATGTATGCAAATATTTGTCTGGGCCATTGTGCACTTACAGCATAGGCATGAAATGGACCAGCTTGTAATCGGATGTAGGTGACGCTTACAAACTCAGAACTCTGGATATCAGCTGACTCTGATCCCTCTATCAGTGCATCTATAGTATTACCTGCTAAACTTACATGTATGGTATCAGTTTACCTTTGAACTTCACTGAGATGTGACTTCTAGTCAGTATCAGTCACAACTATGGTATCGTATAGTTGTAATTACATCTATACACCTTGAGTATAACAGAATATCGACGTGCATATTCTCTTCAGGTAAGCATTTTACAGTCGCACCAGCCAGCACATGAATGAGGATGGTCAGTGTTGTAATACTGCACGTAACGCACTTACAAAATCCATGACAGTCTACATATTGTATTGTACTGTCTTGTCTATATATATATATATATATATATATATATATATATATAGACAACACAGCCCCATCTTTAAAACCTTTCCCCTTTTGGCTTATACAAAATTTTTTAATTTATTTTATCAACTTTTCTTCTGACGATGCTGTCTGTGCGCTCAGTGGATCTGCGTTCGACTACTCCGCCTAGGCTGCACTGTCCAGCGCAGATCCACTGAGCGCAGCGCAAGCTAGCAAGACAGAAGCTAAGCTTGTTGCAACATGGAAAATTGAACCTCCCTCACCCTCATTCAGATCTGGCCTTTGGAACTATTTTGGTCTTCATGTGAAGTATGACCCTGAAAGTAAGCGTGTCATGGACAAAAGTAAAACAGTATGTCGAATGTGCCACGCAATGCTCAATTGGTGGGAACTACTGCGTTAGCGCAGTTTGCTTGTTAACATGTTGACGCCGTCCATCCCCATGCACGGGGCGATCCGCGGTAGCTCGTTAACGGAGATTTGCCGTGTTGTGGCGTTAATGTCATTTCAACGAGATTAACGCTGACAGCACTAGTGGGAACACAACGAATATGACTGCACATTTACACCGACATCATCCTAGTGCAAAGACAAGTGGAAGCAGACAAAAACAACAAGCACGCATGCTACAAACTTTACCCGAGTCATTTAGACAGCCGTTAGCACATGATTCTCCTTATGGGGACCTGATATGTTTAATATGCTGCTGAGAATATAGCCCAGAAGAAGCGGATAGTATAGCTTTTATTTTGGAAAGAGACATTTCTCTGTAATAAACTCTCTTTTCCAAAGATGAGTGATTCCTCAATCAGATTTATTTTTATCTTCCCTTTGTTGTTTCAGCAACATTAAATTTAAAAACTGTACTTTTGAGTTAAAATATATATTTATAATTTTAATAAATGACAAATTAAAAAAGCGTGAACATTTTTTTGTATTGAAAAAATATCGAACCTTGACACCAAAGTATCGAACCAAACCAAACCCTGGATTTTGTGTATCGTTGCACCCCTAATAAATATATATATATATTCTCATAAATAGATACAACGTAGATACAAAGATAGATAGATCAGTAAAACAAGTAATTTCTTCCAAAATGCAATAATGTTCAAGAAGATTGGCGCATGTTACAAACCTAAAATACATGACCCATAATCTTCTAGGACATGGTATTTATGTTTGTACGTGAGTGTTTCTGTGCCCGCGTGTTCATGTGTGCATGGGGTTTGAAGAACATCACTCCATGTTGGACTGACACGCCTCATCAGATCATCTAGGTCAGCATGAGATTGGAGAGAGGAGGGGGAAAAAAAGATGATGAAAAAGTGACTTCTTTAGGCAGATGAGAAAGTGAGAGGAGGACATTAAATGGATGGGAGAAGAGGAAGGAAATGAATGTACGTGGGGGGAATGAGGGGAAAAAGACAGGGGACAAAGATTAAAAGAGGGAGACCGAGGAGTTGGAGTTTTATACTTCTCTTCCAGTCTAGCGCCGAGTACGATTCAAGCCCAATTCTGCTGTTAAATTATTAGGATAGTATTCTTTATTAAACGCACATATGGGGCTCAAAGCTATCCAGTATTCAGGAAAAGTATCCAATATTCAACAAGAAAAGGTTTATATGGTTCTGGTAATTGAATTCTTAGCCAGAGCGAGCCCTTCCACCGAAAGGGTTTGGAGGTTTTGCTGTGTTGGGAGATTAACATTCTCTCAAGTGGCTTTTTTTTGTTGTTTTTTAATTCAGACTCACCTGCCAAGGTTACTCCTGCTGTCTCCTTCCTTTGTTAGCCCTCTCTGTACTTTTTCTCTTTTTCTGCAGCTCTCCAATTACAAACACAAATCATCTTTCCTTTCCCCCTTTGTTTAATTTGGCAGCCAGTGCTTAAGCTCCATAATGAATAATTTCCATGTTCAGTAACACTGGGATTCTCTCTCTTGCTCTCTTTGTCTTTCATGCATATACACCTGCACATACGCCACACACGCACACGCACACACACACACACACACACACATACAGCACAGCCTGTCCCGTTACAGCCATCATAGGCTATTGAGTGGTGTGAAAGGAACATAAATCACTTTTTGATCATCTTGCCTTGCTTTCAAAAAAAAGCACAAAACAACACAAAAAATGAGATTTTGAAATCATTCTTATTTACACAGGTAGGATTTGCCTGCACTCAATTTATGCCACTCCAAATCCTCTTCATTTATATTCGCAACCCACACGCTCCACCCTAAATACTGAGCCACAATATTCATTCTCAATCCCAAGTGGGGCTGTTTCCAGTGAGACATGGTTGGATTTAATTTTACACTATTCTAAGAGTAGTGCTTCAGCTATGTTTTTTTTGTTTGTTTGTTTGTTTGGTTCCAAGGAAAAGGGTTTTGAGGTTTTCACATTACAATTCATTGGAGAGGATGAGCTAGCAAACAGTTTTTAGTGGAGTGCCTTTCTGTTGTTGTTCCTGGCTGAGTGCTCGGTGATGCCTTGACAGTGGTTCCACATTGTTGCTCTAACATCAAGTAGATTGATATGAAGCAGGCAAGCCTGGGTGGTGCACTGCTGGCTGCTTACAGTGAGCACAAGATAAGAAGACACCGGCGGATGCACTCAATTGCGTTGGAATGCACAAATGCATAAACATTTGCGGCGGCACACACACATAGACACTCGCGTGCACCAAAAAAAAGGAAAGAAAAATTTGTCTGACGTGGATACCATTGCATTCTCACACAAGTATCCCACAATTCATCTGTTCCCCTTGTCTCCTTTCCACTGTGTCTCTCATGCTAACACACTCACATCAATGTTCAGAGGCGATCAGTATTCTGAGCAGCTTTCCAGGTCAGCCGGACGCTGATCCATCAAACCCCCGACACTGTGTCGCTCTGTATCTACAGCAACCTTCGCCGTTAGAGATGAGCAACAACAGTCCTCTGTCATCAGGAAATTCACTCTCTGTGCTTGAATGAGTCGTTGTATGTTTGTGCATGTGCACGAACTACTTTCATTTTAGGAACAAAAAAAA